CCCCAAAACCCCAAAACCCCAAAACCCCTCAAAGTCAAAGTTTTAAAAATAATGGTAATTAAAACAATATATCGATAAATCTATTAGACACAAATAAATTAATTAATTCATATAAATATTTTTCTATGAGATGATATGTAAAATTAGGCAACTGTGATTTCTTTTAATACTCATTATTAGTTGTTAATGCTTAATATCCTAGATTCTACTTTATTAAGCTGTTTTAGCTCTTAATCCTTTATATCTAGAGCTTTAAGCTCTTTATCAATAACTTCATCATCTCCTTCAGTCTTTTAGGAAATACTTGCTGCTTATTAGTTTTATTTGTCTTTGTCTTTGTCTTTGTCTTTTTCTTCTTCTTATTTTTGTCTTTCAGTCTCAAGCTCGGCCTCAATTCTTGCTTTATTTACTCTACTTGCAAACGCTTAAAGAGCTCTTAACTTATTCATTTATGCCTCTGATATTTACTCCTTCACCTCTGTAGGTTATTACATTTCTGCTAGTTTTAGAAATTCTTAGGAAACATACTAAAGACCCGTGCCAAAAGCTATAGCAGGCTTGTACCCATCAATTAGATACCGTTTAAGTATTTTTTAATTGTGGTCCATTTTTTCCTATGAGATTTTCATCGCTTAAAATATCAGTTCTGTTTTCTTATTGACTCTTTTAATGACACTATTCACAGTTTCTTTCTCCCCTTGTTCAATATTCGGTTCTTCATCTGTATAAAACTAAACCTCTCCTGTTTCAGCATTTTCAATACTCTCCTTATTCTATAACTGCTCTTAACTATTTTATCCTAGCTATTAAATAAGATTTTTTTATGATTCAGGGGCCTATAGACCCAGCAAGCCCAGTTACTATTGCAACTTTATTTTGAATTTTTCTTTTAAGGATTTACCTAGAGCTTTTAAAGGTGTAAGCTTGTCTAGTTTTTCCATAGCATCCATAAAGAACTTCCTTCTCTCAAGGCCTCTCTATCTAAGATTGTCACCTGTAATTGGATATTCACTACAAAGTCTTAAAAGCACTTTTTTACTAACACACATAAATCTGGTAACAGGGTAATTCTTAGCTGTTTAAAATACTATATTTGATTTAAGGTCATAAAGAATTTGATAATCGCCAAAGATCTGATATTGAGGTAAAAACATAAAATCTTGAATTCTAAATTTGTTAAACATTCTTACACCTCCTTCCCTAATAAAATATATTTCACTAAATTTAGAACCATAAGGCACAATTGTAGCTTCAGGCTAATATATTCTGCAGTACATATTTATAATGAGCTCATTAATGAACCCTCTTTCGCAAAAGTCAAAAAAGAGTCTAAAACTTTGCTAAAATTCTTTGAATATAGTTGTACAGAGCTCAGTTTACATTTTGGGTGAGATTTAGTAATAATATGGAAATTCTTCAATAATCAGATTGAAGTCATGCAAAAAAGCATCTTAGACATATTACTTGATAACACTGTACAAATCTGGCGGTATATAATAAGGCTTATTAGATTTTTCTATTTTTTTAATCCAGATGTCTAGTTATGAAAGCTTTTCGTCAATCAAATCCTCAAAGTTATCAGTTTTTTTTAGCATTGCATTTATACTCCCCATAAGGAATGAAAAAAAGCTGAGTCCGATGAACTACAAATATATTAGAACCTAGCTATTATCTTACCTCAAGAACCATAGTAAAAAGATACTCATTTCTAGTAGTACCAACATAATCTCCATAACCGACAGTTGTCAGAGTTTCCAAAATCCAATAAACTGCAAATATGTATATCTACTGACTATTTTTTTCATTAAAGTCGTAATCACCATTAGAATTTTAAATATAAACCCAAGACTCTCTTTACTCAGGTGGAAGATATTGATCAGAAAGTCCTAAAAGACACCAAGTACAAGCTAGCATATGCGTTGAAAAAATGACGAAAATAAATAAAGAAAGCAGATCCACATTATCTTGAACCTTCATCCGATTATAGCCTCTTGAAAAAAGATATTTCACTAATATTGTATTGAACATTTTAAAAAGCCTATTAGTATGCACGAATCGAGTGAGTTTAAAACCATATAACGACCTTGAAGAGCCTTTTGTAACAAAGCCAGGAAATACTGATAAAAAATCGAAAATGAAGTAGCCTCTATAATTTTATTAAGAAAGAGGATAGCTATTACTTTAAATATGACAAAGAAGTTTGCTTTAGTGTACTTTATTCTCCATGTTACTTGAAAAATGATAGTACAATATCAATTGTGAAAATAATATCATTGATAAGTTCAATAGTCTCAACATTAGGATAAAACTGTGGAAACACTATGCTAAAATATTATTTTGATAAGAATGAAAATTTCATTTGTGGGAGATTTAAAACTCGGAGAATTGTCTTACATAAATGGTGTTGTAAAGAGTGTGTATATGGTAAAAGCATTCATTATCATCTCCCATACTTAAGGCAAAAATTTCTTCTCATAAATTAGATACCATTTTTCAGACTCAGGTTATTGATCCTCAAGAAGTTCAGAGTCCTCGTCGAAATTAATTGACATTTTTATGATTATAATTGATAATTTACTTCACTTAATCTGATTATAATACGGGGTTTTGGGGTTTTGGGGTTTTGGGGTTTTGGGG